AAAATACAGCTTTGATCACAGAAATACATTACAGTTTAACAGAGATTCACACAAACATGATGTTATTGGTAATAGACGTTAAACATGAGGAACGCTTATCTTTCACATTCCTTACTAGCAGACTTAGCAAAGCTCTTGTCCGTAAACCCCTTGGTGTGAAAAACATTCACAGATCAAGTTGGTGAAGATGACACCGGTTTCATTCCTCTAAGTGTCCAACTTTTGGAGATGTAGGCATTATAAAATTAAGAGACGCTACGAAAAAAAACCTGATTTCGGCCCTGCATGTCTATAACAGCGCACATTTGTATTAGGCTGCATGTGTTCATGTGATTATTCAGTTTTATGCAATGATGCAAGTTTCTTCATTCTATTTTAATTAATTTATTTTTAACATCAAGTTTTGTCGACGAGGAGTAATTGTCCTCTAAATCCATCAGGCTTCAGTGGTAGAAGCAGTAGTTTGCATCTCTCGTAGAGTTTCTGCATGAATTCATTTCTTATGAATATTGTGACTAGGTTGTGGTCAGTTTGGAGGACACATGCTGAAAATGTTTGCTTTTAGTAAACTTCATCAAACCCACACTACAAAAGAATCAAAGAATCATGTAAAATCCAGTAAACCCTGAAAAGATTATTTGTGACATTAGAAAAAAATATATAGATATAATAATTTATAAAACTAAATTGAACAATAATCTCTTAAATATTTTTCTACTTTCATTTAACATTTTCATTTCATTGACAAATGTAATAAATATGGACTTTCATTAAAAAGTCTCATTTCTGCTATTGTAGGCTTAATTTGTAAATGTAAGCTATTCCTTTAAATTATAGACAAGCACAAACTGGGTGCTTAATGCAAATGTAATTAGCCACATTTACAAAATCAGGAGATAATGTTCGCCCATCAATGTTTGCCCATGTTTTGCCCATGCACTGTTCGCTAACTAAAACTTCCAACAACGAACACCACATTCATTGTAATTCAAGCCATACACCAATGTTAAGTTTTAAAATGTTTATTTCAGACATATTTTAGTGACAAGGAGAAAAAAAATACAATTTAAATCATATTACAATCATCATTTTTACATCACAACCTAATAAAACAAACTGACATCTGATATATTGACAAAATGACAATATTTTCTCACACACCTGATTGGCTAAATGTAAATCATTACAGATTGGCTAAATGTTCATATCAGAATGCTTCTCTTCTGATGATTACAAAGATTAAAGATTTTTTTTAAATGAAGTTCTGTATTCAGTTCACATTTCCCTTAGAAATCAGTGTTTTCTTCAGTCACAGAGAAGGATTTCAGCTTCTTTCCTAACAGTGACCTGTAGGTGTCGCCAGCTGCTCAATAACTTTGTTGAAACTGAATTATTGTTATAGTGGCTTAGTCATTTTTCTCAGTGACTGACATGATTATAGTTGTGTATTTAAAAAAAAAAAATCCAGTGGTAATATTATTTTGGCGTGACGCTGTGATCGACAGATGTGTAATCGGAGTGAATATCCTCTTCTCTGATTTTGACTAGCGTCACTGAGACTCTTCATGCTCTTGGAAACTGATGGAAGAGTACAAGAGCCCATCAGAGGGGATTGTGGGTAACTGAGCTGTGGAGTGGGTTCTGTGAATCAGATGGGATATTTTCTTTTTGAGATTTGTAGTTATTCATCAAAATATATATATATTCATTATTATTGTTGTTGTAATGATTTGCATAGAAGAGATTCTCAGAAAAGCCTATTTTGGTTATTATAATGAATCTTCTGTTCTTCTGTCAGATGAGATCTTTGAGCAGATCTCGTCCTCCGCTGCTGACAATCTGAAGGAAGCTCGAGACATCTTGAACAAGATCGTCAGAAGAAAACTGCCAGAGTTTGTTGGAGAAGCTCGGCTGACTGAGAAGAACAACTCAATCTCAAAGGTTTGACAGAAAGTGAAACACATTGGTTTAGCTTTTTGAGTGATATTACCAATTTTAAAAGATGTACATTACTAAATACTGAAAGACCTTGCTTTCAAATATCATTACAAACTCAATGTTTTCATCTCTGGTGGCTAAAACGACATCTTTTTCACTGAGTCACAGCACAGGCCGACACAGCCTGACTCTCTCAAATCAGGACGAGCTGATGGAAACATGGAGAGCCGCAGTAGAGAATACAAACCTGCAGACACGACTGTTTCTCTGAACGCTGTCGATTTAACACTGTATGTAGTCATGTTGTATTTCAGAGCTGATTGTGTGTACTTAAAGGGTTAGTTCACCCAAAAATGAAAATTAGGCTGCGTTTAACTCACCCCCGAGGCATCCTAGGTGTTTATGACTTTCTTCTTTCAGACGAATCCAGTCTGAGTTATATTAAACATGTCTTTGATCTTTCAAGCTGTTTCATGGCACTCAGCGGGTGTTGCGTTGCTTCTGTCCGAAAGACGTGAAATAAAAAGCTCCCTTCCATAATAAAAAGTGTCTCACACGGCTCCGGGAGGTGAACAAAGGCCTTCTGTAGTGAATCGATGCGTTTTTGTAAGAAAAATATCCATATTCAAAACGTAATAATCACTTGAATCTAGCTTGCGCTCACTGTTGTAAACGGAAGTAGTTCCTGGGGAATTACGTATGAGGTAACATACATTACATTCCCAGTAATATAAGTACAATATAGTGAATTGTCCTCACAACAGCACAACTGCAGATCATATTACTGAAGTTACTTCAACAACTGTTCAAACTGAACTGAACAGCAGACGCAAGCAGCTAGAATTCTCTTTTTAATTCGTTTTCTGGAATATTTGTCAGTTAATGTTTACTTTTAAACATAAACATTTCAAGCACAGTGTCCAGATATTTGTTATATTTATTAGTGGCTTATTTTGCTCTACTTTCACTCTCGTTTTTAAGTGCGCTCATATGAAGGACACTCGTGCTTCCTCTAGTGGCGCAGAGCAACAGCACTTTCTCATCTGAGACTCAAACAAGCTGCTTTAGGTGACTGAACACAGTATAAATCATCATGAGGGCCGGAATTAGTGATTTGGGGGCTCTAAGCAAATTCCAGGTACGGGGCCCCAACACAACGTACTTTTCTCGCTTGCTCTCATAGTTTATAGTTTATTTATCCCTTCACAACCAGTAAATTATTAGTCAACTTGTTGCTGTTTTAAAGCCATATTAGGCTACCTTATTTTTTTTTTTTTCAGATCACAGAAGAAAAGATAAATGCTTGCCCATTTAATAAATTGTAAACTTTTTCAATCTTTTTACAAACATAAAATGATCCCATGCAACTCATTCCTTATTCTTAGTGTTCTGAAGGCATGCAGTAGGGTTTGGCGAGAAATAAATCGAAAATGTAATCTATTATTAACCCTTGTGCGACCTTTTCAGTTTTGTTTTTTTGATCATTTTGCCTGTGTTATTGCCAACTGCATACTTTTTCGCAAAGGTGTGTATTTTTATTGGAATTTTAATATTTCACTTCCATTTCCTTTAATAAATCTGTTTTGCACTAGGTACAAAACAAATTGTTCCTCTCAGGACCTTAAGGACAAAAATGTCCCCATTGAAACCCATTAAAACTGCTATTTTTAATTGCAGTGCCGTTTAACTGTAATATTATGCAATTTTTGTTGATAGGCTTTCATTCTATTGGCAAGGCTTTAAAATGTAATTTTTTACTATTTTTTACCAGATGGTGCCATTTTTTCAGGTTTGCCCTATAAAGAAAATACTTTAAATGCTTTATTTCTGTTTTCTGCTTCTGCATATTATAGAGCCAATTGGATAAATAATGCAGCTATAATTGTATGGGTGTGTTGGTATGGATGTCAGAGTGTGGGTTGTATGTATTTATATATAAAAATATAAATATGTGTGTGTGCTTGTAATTTTTGAGAGAGAAAAACTCTACTGCAAATCACAAATCCAACCACTGTGTGCACCAGCGGCGTTTTGCTGGCATCTAACGGGGTAATTTGGTTCTGCGCCCAAACAAAATCTTACTGAAAGCTCATTTTTTGAGATATCAACATCAAATTTGGAACACAACTTGTTTAGATTTATGGCTTTGATTGTCTAACAGGTATAGAGTTCAACATGTTTCATAAAATATATATTTTATATAAAACATCATTCATAAACCATTTTCATAAACCTAAACATCTAAAACTTTTTTTTTTGTTTTCACTTTTTAAACTTTTTTTACTTCAACAATAATCTGCCATGGGTCTTCTTTAAAATGAGACCAAACTTAACTCTGTGCTCCCAAGCTTCAAATTTCTATGA